CAAGCTAGGTGTGTCTGAGGAGCAGTGAAGACAGCTGGAGCACATACAGGGAGTGAGTACCCACTTGGTAGAGTTGCTTAGAAAATCGAGTGAGATAATAGATTTAATATGTACTTTGTATATATTAAAAGAATAATACACCATAACAAGAGGATTATTTTAGGTATGCAAGAAGGATTCAGTAGTATAAAATTTATTAATGGCATTCATCATATTATTAAATATAAGTAGAAAAAAATTATCATTTTTATAGAAAGAGCAACTGATAAAATTCAATATTGATTACTGATTTAAAAACAAAACAAAACACCATGGGCCAGCTGAGTGGAACGCTGGTTAAGATCTGGCTTGGGGGCCGGCTGAGTGGCTCAGTTGGTTAAGAGCTCGCTCAAGAGTTTGAGCTCTGAGCAACAGTGGTTCGAGTCAGCCCGAGCTGAGCAGCCNATAACTATTGCATTGTTTTGTACACCTGAAACAAACAATTTATAAAAATAAAAAAAAAATAAAAAAATAAAAAAAAAAAAAAAAAAGATCTGGCTTGGGATGGCAGCTCTGAACAGCAGGGCCCCAGGTCGGATCCCACATGGGCCAGTGATGCTGCGCCCTCTATAGCTCATATGGTGAACAACAGCTTGACCTGGAGCTGGGCTGCTGTGTTGCCAGAGACAGTGTAGGCTGCAGTGGGCTGCCATGAGCTACCGTGAGTGGCTGGCAACTGGCATGAGCTGCCAAGAGCCACCGTGAGCGGCCATCCAGTGGCCGGTGACCGATCTGCCTCACCTGGGAAGAGCGCAATGATAATACCAACACGAGCAGTGAACGACGTCCTTCACAGCTAGACGGAAGAACAAAAGGACAGCAACTTGTCTGTTCCCCTTCCCCGGTTCCCCAGTGCTGTTCCCCTCCCCCAAATCCCCAATAAAATCTTTTAAAAAAAAAAAGATACACCTCAAAATATAGCAACAAATGTTTCTTGGAGGATATCAGTGCAAGCTGTGTAAACCAATGGTGTCAAGATTGGGAAACATTGAATTAAACAAAACCAAGCAGGTTAGGTTTCTTTCTATACAGGTCTTCTTAGAGCCTTAATACACATAATATGCTTTGTGAATATTCAAGAGGGATATTTAGAATGTAGCATTTTCCAAATTTATTGAAATACAGAACCTTAAATAGCAATGACCACTATTTTTCTTTCTTAAGAAACATTTTACGAGTAGTTGTCACGTTGGAAAACTTCACTTTAATGCTCAGATTTTGATTTTGTTTAACTGCATTATTCATTCTAGTAAATCAGTACTTTTGATTCATTTCTAAGATGCCTGTATTCTCTCTCCCTGCCTGCTTGTCCTTCTCTGTGACATGCTGCAACTCACTAATTTGTTTTTTTTTTTTTTAAGATTTTATTGTTTTTTTAAAGAGTTGGGGAAGGGAACAGTGTTGGAGAATTGGGGAAGGGAACCTTGTGTTTTTCCAGGACCCATCAGCTCCAAGTCAAATAGTCCTTCAATCTTAGTTGTGGAGGGCACAGCTTAGCTCCAAGTCCAGTTGCCATTTTCAGTTTAGTTGGCCAGGGTGTGGGGGGTGCAGCCTACCATCCCATGTGGGAGTCGAACCCGCAACCTTGTTGTTAAGAGCTTGCGCTCTAACCAACTGTGCCACCTGTCTGGCCCTCACTAATTTGTTTCGTGGTTGAGACCCTCCCAAACTCATACAAATTACACTGGATTTCTAGGTAGTTGAGGAATTGTGAACTTAACATGGAGGAGAGCATTACTGTGGGTTAGATCAGGGGTCAGCAAACTGTGGTTCACGAGCCACCGTGGCTCTTTGGGTACGTACATGTGGCTCTGAAGTAAAATTGAAAATGAAAATAAAATTATCATAGTTTCATTTATAAAATTTTTAAAGGATATTATTTACAAAATGGTGATTTCATTTGTTTTATGGCTCTCGTATAATTTTTAAATTGTTGTGAGGGACAGGATAGGCTCTTCCATCTCAAAAGTTTGCTGATCCCTGGGAAGATAAGGACTCTACCTCTGTCTTCACCATTTACCAGCTACTTAATTAGAAACGGTCACACCACCTCCCTCTGCTTCAATTTTGTCATCTGTAAAATTCAGGGATTGGATTTAGGTCCATCCATTTTAAGACTCAGAGTTACTATTAATATGCTTAATAGAATAAATGATGATTGTGGGCCTATGTAGAATATTTTGTTCTACTCTGCAGGTTTCCGCATGTGACTATAATCTTGTGTCTCAATCCAGTTCTTTTGGAGAGTGAAATTATTCAATAATTAGCTCATAGTCAATTCCATGTACTTGAAAACTAGTTGGATTGTTTGAGATGTCTGTCTTCTTTGATTGATTTATTAACCATCCTATAGGAAAGCACTTGATTATAACACAGGTCAATTACAGTACTATGGATAAAGCCACCCCTCCAGCTTTTGTTTTACTGATATAGGGAGAGGTCCACAATATAGATATTACTTATCCCCCCACCCGACGTGTTCATGTGGTGGTTTTGCTGTGCCATTTGTGCACTCCCTGCCTATCAGCTGATTTCTGAACTCAGCCCAATAGAGGTAAAAATTCCCTGAATTTGTGCCATCTGGAAATGAGCTTTAAATTCTATTCCTTTTTCAAAATTAAGGATGGGATATACCTATTACATGGAAGGATGGTGAGCTTGGATATGATTTTATTATGCAGAGGTGGAAAAATGTTTTGCTAGAAGGAAAGCACTTCCCTGGGGAGAGATTTGAGTGTGACCGAATTGTTAACTGCCAACTTCCCCCACTCCCCGCTTTTTAGCAGGAGACATATTTTGTTTTTAAATGAGATGACATCCAAGAGAATTATCAAGACCCAGTGAATTGTAAGAGTCCTTTCAATTGACTTGAGTTCCGTTTAACCTTGCTTTCGATGCCATTCTGGGCATTACTGTCAAAGGACTGGCTTCCCTTTGAAGTTGCCAAGTGCTGCTGCTGACAGAATCATGATGGTAAAATAGAAGAGTTGTTCCCAGTAAAAGCCTTTAGTGATACACAGCGATGCCTTATTACCTAAGTAAAAGCCTATGTGTGGCAGCGCCTAAAAATATAGTGTAAGGGAAGGATATATGATAATGGACGCTAAGATGGGAGACCTGTTTCTCATGAATTAGAGATGCCCTTTCATAATTCAAGAGTCACAGAATGAAGAAAGACTTGAAATAGCCTGAAAAGCATCTGGAAGCAATCTGTAATTCTTACGAGGCAGTGGAAGCGCCTGTATCTTCTAGTATATGATGATAAAATTGTTCACCAGGGATTATGGAAGAAGTAGAATTCTGTTACTTGTAAAACCTCATGCAATGAAATGCCCAGAGATTCGATTATGAATTAGATACTGCAAGGTCCCAGGTGCCTAATAAGTGATTAATTGATTAGAGTGAAGAAGGCAGATTTGAAGGTACTGAGAGGCAAGTTTAATATGAAGGATTTTTTTATCTGTATGTGAAATGTTATCCGTTACTTTTCATGCATTATACTCACTTTTCTTGTGCCTGGTCACTACCACTAGTTTTGAAGATTTAGATCACATTGAGCCCCCCTCCCCATTTTTCTCCATTCATGAAACATTTGTTATAAGAAAAGGTACTACATTCTAAGCCTTCTAAGTAAGGCATTTATAGGTCAAAGACACACTTAAAACCTCTTACAGTAACTTTTTAGGGAACCATCTTTTAATGTATTGGACTGTTGAAGAAAAAAATATTAGTAAGTGGCTTATCCTTTGGGGCTTGGAAAAAAGAATACAGAGACTTGCAAAAGGCATATTTGTTGTACTACATTCAGACTTGAATTGCTGACCTTAACCCACCTACAGAGGGGAAGATACTAATTTACCTAAAACTTGTAACTATATCAGAGCAAGTTGTATGTTGCTGTTTGCTTTTGGGTAAGCAGTTGTGATCATATGTAATTACGTGTACACTGTCTTTTCTTTCTTTTTTATATGATAATTGTCATTTTCCCATTTTATTATAAACATACAATGTTTGATGGCTGATAGAATTATGGTTAAGTAAATTATGTTGTTGAATCAAATTGATTGAACTTTTCCCCAATTATTGGACATTGAAATGATTTCTATGCTTTAAATTTAAGTATAGTATTTATTTTTTTAAAAACTTCTTTGTTGGAAATATTCTCTAGCTTTCTATTTTGACATTGAGTATTGGTTTTTCGTGGTTTTATTTAGCATTTGTGTTAGCTTCTGCCTTTTGTATCTGTGTTTGGGGCTAGTCTTTTTATGTGCTGTCCTGGACACCTACCTCTAGGTGTAGTTCTCTGTATTTCTGTCACGTAGGATAATTTCCCAACCTTTTTCAAACTCATGTTTTTCTGGTTGTACAGTTGGGATTAAGCTCTGTATTTGTGCTGTGAAACTTGTCTTCCCAGTTAGGCCTGATGATATGAGATGTGTGTCTAAGACCAAACTAAATTCTGCCCACAGGATGAACTTTCAACTGTCAATATCTAGATAAGTCAAAGATACTTGGGAATATTTTGGGAGTATTGCATATTTTTAAAAAAACATTTATGCAAATTTTAAGTCCTCTCTTTGCTATTTTATATGTTGTTGTCATTAAGTTAATATGATGTTGCCGATGCATAGATATGGATTTATGTAGTTTCCCACTTTATTTTTCTCTTGTAAAAGAAGCATATAATTACTTAACATCTCTTAGAGGACAGAAGAATCCTCCTTCTCTACTTTTCTGCAACCCAGGGGGAGTCTCATTCTTCGCTAGCATTCAGATTTCTAAATACAGATTTACTTTTTGCTTATCATTCTTTTTAATGATAAAGTCGAGTGCAATGTGAGGAGAGCCCACTCAGTGCACAACAAGTGGTGGTAAATAGGAGGAGAAAAAAACTAGGGAAACTTAGAGTGGGTTTTGCTGTTTATTAATAATTGTGGGACATTTTTTATTCCTTTCTGTAGATTTTGAAAATCTTGGAGTTTCCAGCCGTGCCAAGTGTTGGAGAAATTTTTCTGCCCCTCTGAGCGGGTGAACTGAGCAAAAGCAACCCAGTGGGAGGCTATTAAAGAGTGCAATCATAGGTACTGTCTTGTTTTCTTATTACTATTGATGTGTGTTCAGTAATGTTCAATAATACCCTTTTTGAAAAGCCTAGTTGAACTTACATATCCAAGTGAACATTATCGTGTTCAAAACAGTCTTTTTGAGAGGCTATACTCTATCCTCTGCTCAAAACATTATAAATTTTTTCTGCATCTTGATCTTCTGGTTCTATTCTTTCTAAACATCGTATTTCCTGTGGTTGCATATCTCAACCCTGTGAGGGTGTATTTGGGAAGCAGTCTGAACTTACTTAGAACTAGGGTGATGAATCTGGGGAACTGTACTTTTAATAAAAAATCGGAAGGAAAAATAATGTAATAAAACCAGTTTTTCCTCTTGTAATTTGTGTATGTGTTCAAAGGCTCTTATGCTGTATTGAAAGTTAATTCTAAAAAGTGACTCTAAGTTTGAAACAATGGTAGTATTGTTAAAATAAGTGATTAGGCTCTATAGCTTATAGAGAAGCATGTATTATTTATTTGACTATGTAAATGTTGGTATTCTTATTAGAATCCATCGATCAATCAATCTGTCAGTATTGTAGAAAGGCTTCCTGTATTAATCATGGTAAATAGGACGAGATATAAACTTCCTCATATGGTTTACCTCTAAGATTTTGTAATTCCTATCTTACTGGTGGTGTGTTTTGCATCTATTCCTCAAAGTATGATTAGAGCACTTGTTAAAAATGCACATGAAAAATCCTGGGCCCCAATCTAGTGTGTTAGAATCTGAATGGTAGGAGGCAGGGTTTAGGAATCTGCCTTTTACAAGTAAGCACTCCCAAAGTTTGGCACCTTCAATGCCGCGAAGTCCTACCTCTACCTAACCTTTGTATTTTTGGATTTAAACTGTTGCGTGGTTATTTCCTTGATCTTTGCTTTGAATAAAACAATGCCAATTATTTTTAGCATCCTACTTTGGCACAGGGTTATGTTCTCAAATAGCTTATTAGTAGATCAAATTGAAAAGATAATTGAATAAAACTGTACTTTGGACTTTATGTCTAAATTAAACTTGTATATATTTTTCCCTGAATGTAAATGGATAAATCTGTTTTTGACATCTACATACCAAATAGTAAATTTTTATGACATATCTGCTTTTAAATTTGCTCATAAGTTGTACTTCAGGCATCTTATTCAAATTGAGGGTAGAGAGGCATTGGAGGCCCCTGGAATCTCTGCTGCATTACGTTTATCATTTAGTCCAGTGTTTTCTCAGTAAACATTGTGATGAAGGTTTTGCTGTGCAATTTATGGTTCAAACAGATGAAATACTTTCTTTCTAGTGCTCTGAGGTTTGTGAAGCTCTTTGAAACCTCCAAATGAAAGGGAGTATTAACGTGAAATGAAGCAGCAGGCTTTGCGATGAAGTCATTTTCATTACCATGCACATGCTTTAGTAATCAGTCCTATAAATTTATTAATTTTACAGAATGTAAACATTGTGTATAAAATATATTATTTTTTAGATATTTTCAATCTCACAAATTATACCTTTACTTTAAGAGATATTTACAATATCACAGGATCCTTGGGTGTCAATATTGAGAGATAGTATACTTTGTGTCAAATAAAATTGTGACAACAGATTTATAAGTTAAGACTATTACTTCAGATGTTTGTTTCTTTATTATAATAGTTAATTTATTGGTATGAAATATTCCATTAAGTCTGTACTTTTTAAAAATTGTGTTAAAATATACATAACATAAAAATTTACTATTTTAACCGTTTTAAGTGTCTAGTATTAAGTATATTTTCATTGTTGTGCAACCAATCTGCAGAATGTTTTCCTCTTGCAAAACTGAATCTCTATACACATTAAAAACAGATCCTCTTTGACCCTTCCTCTCAGCCCCTGGTAATCACTCTTCTACTTTATGTCTCTATGAATTTAGCGATTCTAGATACCCTGCATAAGTGGAATCATATACTCTTTGTCTTTTTGTGACTGGCTTACTTCACTTAGAATAATGTTCTTAAGGGTCATTCATGTTGTATGTAGCATGTGCTATAACTATCTTCCTTTTTAAGGCTGAATAATATTCCAGTGTGTGTGTGTGTGTGTGTGTGTATCACATTTTGTTTATCTGTTTGTTCATTGATGGATGTGTGGGTTGCTTCCTTCCACCTTTTGGCTATTGTGAATAATGCTGCTCTACATGGGTGTACAAATATCTGAGTTCCTGCTTTCACCTCTTTTGGCTATTTATATAGAAGTAGAATTGCTGAATCATATGGCAATTCTATTTTTAATTTTTTTTTTTTTTTAAGATTTTTATTGGGTAATTGGGGGGATGGGAACAGTGCTGGGGAATTGGGGGAAGGGGAACAGACAAGTTGCTGTCGTTTTTTTGTTCTTCAGTCTAGTTGTGGAGGCTGCTTCACTGGCCCAAGTTGGCACCATCATTGCGCTCTTCCCTGGCGAGGCACATCAGTCGCCGGCTTCTGGACGGCCGTTCACTGCGGCTGCTGGCCGCTCACGCTGGCTGCTGGCTACATACGGTAGCCCATGGCAACCCACTGCCACAGGGACTGCAGCCTATGCCGTCGCCAGCAACTCACGGCAGCCCAGCTCCAGGTTGAGCTGTTGTTCAGCATCTTAGCTGTGGAGGGCAGTGTCACTGGCCCTCATATGTGGGATCAGAACCGGGGCCCTCTGGCATCCCAAGCGAGTTCTTAACCATCGCGCCACTCGGCCGGCCCTATTTTTAATTTTTTAAGAACCACCATACTGTTTTCCACAGTGGCTACATCATTTTACATTCTCACCGATAGTACACAGGAGTTCCAGGTTCTTCACATCCTTGCCAACACTGAGGTTTTTGTTTTTTTCACCAATATTAGCCATCCTAATGGGTATGAGATGATATCTCATTGTCATTTTGATTTGCATTTCCCTAATCATTAGAGATGTTAAACATCTCTTCATAAGCTTATTGGCCATTTGTATATCTTCTTTGGAGAAGTGTCTAGTCTAGTCTGCCCATTTTTTATTGGGTCATTAGTCTTTTTGTTGTTGAGTTGTAGGAGTTATGTATATATCATGGATATTAACCCTTTATGAGATATCTACTTTGCAAATATTTTCTCCGATTCTGTAGTTTGACTTTTCCTTGTGTTAATTTTGTCCTTTGATGCACAGACGTTTTAAATTTTGATGTAGTTCAATTTATTTTCACTTTTGTTGCTTACACCTTTGGTATCCTATCCAAGAAATCATAGCCAAATCCAGTATTTTGAAGGTTTTCTCCTGTGTTTTCCTCTAAGAGTTTTATAGTTTTAACTCTTAAGTTTAGGTCTTCGATCCATTTTGAGTTAATTTTTGTATATGGTGTAATATAGAAGGGTCCAACTTTATTCCTTTGCATGTAGATATCCAGTTTTCCCAACACTGTTTGTTGAAGAGAAGTTTATACTTTTAAAGACAGGTTAGGCTAAGGAAAAGAAAAGCAGACAGTAACAAATGGCTATGTTGTGTCTATGTAAGAATTCTTATAACGTCCCCTGTTTCTAATTAGGAAGCTATTTCAGAAACTAAAGGGTATTACATGGATTTGAAGCTGACCTGAAACTAAGATTTAGTATGAGTAGGCATAGAGCCTTTAAGTTTTATGTTAGTTATTTGGTGGACAATGACTTCTTATATTTTCGATTTGATTATGGCAAACTCTGAGTTATAGTCTTCAGTAAGGGTGTGTGTGTGTGTGTGTGCACAGTTATAGAGCTTTCTCCCGTTAACTCCGGCCAATGAGAGATCCTTTAATGTTTTAGGGAGCTTTAGTTTCAAGGCCATAAGCGGAATCAACATTCTTATAATAAAGAGTAACCAGTTATAAATCTGGGAAAAATCTGTAGCCAACTTGAACTATTCACTTTTCTATGTAGCAGAAGTTACTTGGAACCTGTTTTTGCCGCTTACCTCTAAAAAGCAGCATGTATATTGACAGAATGACTTTTATATTGATTCTGAAAAGTTATAAAACCAAGTATGGTGCCGTTAGAAGTGTGGTTATTTTGGGGAGGACCCCTGGAGGGTGTTGGAAGTGGGGTTGGGAGATACAAAAGCAAATATGTGTAACTAAGAGGAAAGCCCAGGCAAAGATGCTCAGAGGGTCGAGGGAGTTTAGGTAGGTGGAGGAGTAACACGGATAATGAAAGGATCTAACACTTAGGTGTGTTACTTTCTTTGGAGAAAATGACAGTGGATACTAAAGATAGCACAGCAAGGACAAGTGGAAAATGGATTTGAAAAGGGTTGAAGACAATGTGAAATAAAATGTGGATGACCGTCCTGTGGAGATGCTGTCAGTGGAATTCATCTGTTACAGATTTTGGAGGTGTTCTCAGAACAGTGAGACAAATAGCAGGTAGACAGAGGCTATTACAGATGGCCTGAGCTGTTGAGAGAATTGTGTATTTGAATATAGTTTTGCAAGGTTACGAGCTGTCTACACGAGAAAAGAGAAGCAGTTAAGCAGCGTCAGAATGCTGTCTGTTCTAATATAATACAGGAATGTCTGAGTCATGCAGAATTGGAGTGGTGAGTGAGGAATGTTTTGCTGTGTTTTCCCTGGCTTTGTGTGGAACCAGTAGGGAGCCATTTTCAAAAGTGGTTTTGAATGAAAATATAGTCTCAAGATTGGTCTGGGACAAGCTTGTCTAACTAAAAAACACATTAAAAAAATCTAAAGATAACTTCTTACAGTCAAATAATCACACCAGCTACCTAATGCTATTATTCTGAAATTTCTTGATTCTGCACATATCTTTTCGTAACTATAGATTTTAAAATTATGGCCTATGTCCACTGTCTTTTGTGAATTCAGTCTTTTTAGTTATTCAGTCATTTTTGTCTCTTCACATGTTCCGTGACCCCTATAATTTCATTCTAGCTTAGTTTGGATCCTTTCCAGCTCTCTCTGCATCTTCCAGTTGACTAGAATGGCTTAGAATAAATGTATGTAATTTAT